CTTGGCCGCCGCCGCCTCGTCGGCCGCCTTGCGGCGCGCCGCTTCCTCGGCCGCTTTCATCTCGGCCTTTTTCGCCTTCTTGGCCGCCTTCTTGCGCTCCTCGTCCGTCATCCCATTGGCCCCGCCCGCCGCATCGCTGCCGTTGGCGCCGGCGCCGCCCGCCGCCGCCGCCTTGCTGGGATCCTGCAGCGATGGGTCGTCGTGCAGCCCGACGTAGAGATCGACGGCGGCCAGCGCCGACCGGAAGTAGGCCGGGTGCGAGCGCAGGTTGTCCTCGAAGCGCACCGTGTCGACGTAGCTGCGCATCGTCATCTTGCGCAGGCAGTAGCTGTGGAAGTCGAGCTGGTCGTCGTAGATCTCCTGGAAGGTGCGGTCGACCTGGTGGAGGCGCTTGAGCGCCATGCCGAGGTCGCGGTTGCGGAGGTGGGCGTCGGCCTCCTCGGACAGGTACCACAGCGCCTGCATCTCGTTGAGGTCGAACACGGGGTCGGGCGCGTCGGCCTTGGTAAACAGGCCAACGGTCTTGACCGCCTCGTCGACGTCGCCCTTGCGCAGCAGGTACTTTGCCGCCTTGGAGTTGAGGAAGCGGTCCTGGCCGTCGAGCAGGCGGGCATCGACCATGGCATCGGCGGCCGCCTCGAGGTCGCCGCCGCGCTTGAGGACGCGCGCGCGCACCATGTGGAGCTCCGGCAGCGTCGCCGAGTGGGCGATGGCCGAGTCGATGTAGGCGAGGGCACGCTGCGCTTGGCCGATGAACGAATAGTGCTGGGCGAGGTAGTACAGCGACCACAGGTACGACGACGGCGGGTCGCTCTCAGTCTCGCCGGCCTTGGGCGCCCACTCGAGGCGGAGGCCCTCGACGGCGGCCTCGAGCGCCTGCTGCTTGGCCGGGTTGCGGTAGAGGGACTTGAGGTCCGAAAAGAGCGAGGGCACGCCCTTGATGAGCGCGGCGCGGGCGTAGGCCGTCGCCTGGGCGGCAAAGTCGTCGCCGACGGCAAAGACGAGCGACAGGCGCTTGGCGGCGGTCGACTTGGGGTGGGCCTGCTGCAGCTCGGCCAGGAGGGCCAGGGCCTGGGCGCGCATCTCGTCCGACGTCTGGACGATGTCGATGCCGCGCGCGCTGAGCAGGCCGGCAAAGTACCTCTGGTTCTCGCTGTTCTTGGCGATGAGGTCCCTCCAGATGGCCTCGGCCTCGTCCTTGCGACCGGTGTGCTGGTAGCACCGCGCCAGCGCCTCGACCCGCGCCCGCTGGTCGACGATCTGGCGGGCGTTGGCGTCGAGCAGCTCTGCGGCCCGTTGGAAGTCGCGCTTCTCTTCGAGGATCGAGGCGTGGTAGAGGAGCACCTCGGAGTGCTCGTAGTTGCGGTCTGGCACGTCGCGCATGACGTTTTCGTAGGATGCTAGGACCCGCTCGGCCTGGTCGAGGCTGCCTGCGAGGTGGTGTGCGACGGCGAGGCCGACCCAGTTCATTCGGAGGTGGGGCTGCATGCGGAGGATGGTGAGGCGGGCGTCTATTAGGGGCGGGTAGTTGCGGAGCTGGAGGTGCATAAAGGCGGATTCGCGGAGGAGGTTGAGGTTGGCGCCCTCGATGCGGAGCGCCTGCGAGTAGCACTTGATGGCCTCTTGGTAGTTTTTGTCCATGCGGTGGAGGATGCCGAGGGCGTGCCAGCAGATGAAGCTGGTGAGGTCGTGGCGGACGCCCTTCTTTGCGAGCTCGATGCCCTCGTCGCGGCGGTTGAGCGAGCCGAGGATGAGGCCCTTCATGGCGAGCGTCTCTGCGGCGGGCGACGGAGCAGGGGGGAACGCAGATTAAGGTCAGTAAGAAGATGCGTGTCGGTATATCGCTGCGGGCGACCTGGCGCCAACTCACCTCCATGTTCTGGGAACTTTTTGAGGATGGTGTCTGCCGTCTTGATGCCGAGCTTGTGCTTCTTGTGTTCGTACTCGGAGATGAGGCGGGTGAATAGGGTGCGCTCCTTTGTCGGCAGCGCCGACTTTTTTGGCGGCATGACGGCGGCGATGTCGGTGGCGGTGTTGGTGGGCGGTCAGGGGGTGGTGGTGGTGGTGGGGATGGGGGAAGAGGGGGTGACGAGCTGCTGGTGCACCAACGGCGAGAAGAAAGCCAAGACGCACCAAGGTCTCGCCCACTCGCTCTCCCGCCCGCTGGCTGGCTGCTCTCGCCTTGAAAGGCGGCGATCAAGGCGTGGGCCCGCGCTGCCAAAGTCGAGTCGGATCCGAGGTGCGGCCTTGTGGAGGGTGCAAGGTGGACTGTGTGCCAGCTCGAGGCAGTCGGGCCGTGCTCGCTCTCTCTCCCCGGACTTCCGTCTCGACCATCCTCCTTCCGCCTCTCGCTGCTCCACCAACACCATCGCTCCCTCCCGCCGACCTCAACCGCCCTCAACCTCCTCTACAACCGCACCGGGCCGTCGCCCAGCTATCCACCTCCAGCCTGGTCCTGCCTCTTCGGCCCAGGACCACGCCTTGACCCGCCCACCATTTTCGCACACTCGGCAGCCGGTAGCGCTGCATCCACCCCCACCGGCGCCACCACGCCCTCGGGCGAAAGCACACCCCGCTACCGACAGCGCCACCACGTCGCAGACCCTCTCCTCCTCGGCAACCCAGACCAGGACTCCTACCCTGCCAGCCTACACCACCACGCCGCGGCCCAACAGCGCGGCCACACCCAAAACGTCTTTAGCATCTCGACCGCAAAGTGGGCACGCAAGCTCGCCGAAATGGCAAACCCCGCCACCACCACCACCAATGGTCACCGCCAGGCTGGCGCACCAGCCGGCGGCGAAGTGAGGCTGCCCATGGGCCACGACTCGATCCCTGGCCACGAGCCCGTCGGCGTGGGTCGCGTATACGAGCACGGCGTCTTCGGCGGCAGCTCCGCCACGCGAGGCTACGGCCGCCTCCCCACCGACCCGAACCCACCATCGGGACCCACGCCGTCGAGGTCCCACTACTTCCTCTCCCGCGACGAGATCCTCAAGGGCGTCGCCAACCGCTTCGTCCACTCGTCGGCCTACCTCTACTTCTACGCCTCCATGGCCCTCGCTTCCCTACTCACCGTCGTCATCTCGCTCCGCACAGAGTGCCCGGGGACCCTCTTCTACAGCCTCGAGCTCGTCATCAACCTCCTCCTCATCGCAGAGGTCGGCATCCGCCTTGTCGCCTTCGGAAAGGTGCGTTCAGTCGTCGATCGTCGGTCGTCGGTCCGCGCCGCTCAAGGGTGGACAGGGGGAAAGGTCGAGTGTCGTACATTCGTCTGTCGCTGACCGTGCATCGCGCCGCCGTATCGCCGTCGTCGTCTTGGCCTTTTGTGAACTCTGTCGCCCCCTGCAGCAATTCTGGAAGAGCACGTACAACATCGTCGACCTCGGCCTGGTGCTGCTGTGTGTCATCACTCTCGGCATCATCTTCTTCCACCACGAGTGTTCGCCCTTCCGCGGCGGCCAGGAGGGGGGGAGGTCGGGCAAGGGCGAGGAGCTCCTCGACAGCGTGCTCCTCATCGGGCGAAACGTCGTCCAGGCGCTCAGGTTGGTCTCCATCGTGCGGCGCAGCGGCTCCTCGGCGTCGTCGCGGCCATCGAGGATCGAAATCGGGTCCCGTCCCTACTCGCTGGACCTGGATCTGGAAGACGAGGGCGCCATGGCAAGAGATCGCATCCGGGTCGCAGAAGAGGCGCCCCTGTTCGACGCCGACGACGACGAGCTGTAGTCCCGCCGCCCGCAGACTGTTCGAAAGCCAAAAAAAGATGCACACCGGAAACGTCAGGGTTCGCGCCAACGTCTGTCACGCCGATGCCACCGCCATTCACTCACTCGTCTGCATGCCCATGGCTCGAACGACTGCCAGAGCCGCTCAGTAGCGGTGGCCGGCCGCGAGGCGCGAGGCCGCCTTGAGGCCGCGGGCCTGGTCGGCGTTGCCGCGAGAAAAGTGCTGGCGCACCGAGGTGACGGCGCCGCCGTTCCAGTGGTGCTTGCGGTTGTAGGCCACGGTGATCTGGCGGATGTCGTGGGCCTGACCGCCGTTGCGGGCGTTGTAGGCGGCCTTGGCGAGGCGCATGCCGGCGTTCTGTCCCGGGTTGCGGGCGGCCTCGGCCTGGAAGCGGTGCGAGAGCTGCTTGAACTCGTGGGCAAACTCGTTGGTGCGGCGGTTGAAGTCCTTTTCGGCCCCCTTGGCCCTGGCGCGGTCGCGGGTGGCGGCCGATGCGCGCAGCTCGGCCTCGAGGTGGTCGATCTCGCGCTCCTTGGACAGGGAGAGGGCCTCGAGGGCGCGGTTGAGCTCGCCGACCATGGGGCTGATCTTGTGCGGACGCGCCACCGTCACCATGCGCGTGCGGGCGCCATTGGCAGGGTTGGCGCTGGCTTTGTTGCGAGAGCCGCCGTTGTTGTTGGTCTTGGTGGGGCTGCCGCTGACGACGTTGCAGATATTGCGGTAGCTGCTGTCGCTGCTGGTGCTGCTGCGGCTGCTGCGGCTGCTGCTGCTGCTGCTAGAGGTCGTCTCGCTCCCGTTGGGACCGCCGCGGCCGAAATGGCTATTGCTGGTGCCTTGACGGCCGGCGCGGCTGCCGTGCGAGTGCTGGCGAGCGAAGTACTCTGGGCCGATCTGGGTCATGTTGGGTGCCGTAGAACGAGGACGAACGAGAGGAGGATGGAGAGCGGTGGGGATTACGTCCGCCTGAGAGTCGAGCCAGCCGATCTGAGGGGGAGAAGGGATGGACGCAGCCAAGAGATGGAAGGGTAAGACGGGGAACGAGATGGGCAAGGGCAAGATGCGAAGAGAGATGGCTGAAGGCGAGACGGTCAAAAAGAAGAGAGGTAGGGAGAGAAAGTGAGAAAGAGAGAACTAGAGGGACCTAGGAAGATGCAGGACGAATGAGGGAGGAATGGATGGGGGAGGGAAGGAGGGGCGATGAGGGCGAAAGGGGGCCTTCATATACCCGTGCGAGGTCCGGCCTGGCTCTATGCTGCCCGCGCGTGTCGCCCCCAGCCCCAGTCAACCAGCCAGCCAGCCAGACGGCCGACCGCAGCGCAAGAGTCTCTGCCTGCTCCTGCCTCATTTCCTGCCCCTCCCCTCCCTCTGGCACTGCGCCAGTCTCGTCCAGCCTGGATGGGTCTAGAAAGCGCAAGCTGCCAAGGCTATTCGAGCTGGGTACCCCCTATGAGGCTAGGCTAGGTAGGGTGGCAGCTCTGAGCCAGCTGGTAGGAGGGAGCGAGTGAGCCAGCAAGCGTACGAGCGATGGAGGGTACGCGTGCCAGCCTTTCGTCGGGTGTGCCGAGGCGGAGGCGGGCGTGCAGCTGCTTCCGCAACCGAGCGGAACCAGGCAGGCAGCCAAATCTCGGGGCCATCCGCACCGTGTAGCGACGGAGCGGCCCCAACTCTCTGACAGCACAGTAGGTTGCCCTTTGCCCCCTTCCCCCTGACCCACCGGAGCCCAACCGAGTCCTAGAGGCAAACCGAAGGCGGCTCAGAGAGTAGGCAGGGAGGCGAATGGGCACCGCCTCGCCAGCCTCGCTCGCCAGCCGGCCAGCCGGCCAGTCCGCGAGAGAGCGAAAGGAGAAACTGGCGGGTGAGGCCAGGGTCGAAAATAAAAGCCAGACGGAGGCGGAGGCCGCCCTCCCCGCCACCACCACCATCACCACTACCACCGCCACGACGGCCGCCCCAAGATGAAGCAGCGAAACTCGAACAACAAGTCCAACGCCGGCACCGATTCCAGCCGCAACCATGCTTCGCCCGCGAGCGAGCCCAGTGAGTGCCACCATCGCCCCTGCGTTGGCTGGCCGCCTCCCGAGTTCTGACACGAGTCTCGCGCCGTGGCCTGCCCTACACTAGATCCTACGGGCCCAGCCCAGCATGGCAGTCGTCGCTCTGGTGCAGCCACGGTGATGCCCGTCACCCGACGCCGCGTCGATCCAGATACCCGTGGCATCTCGTTGAGCTCGCCTGCAATACGCGCGATTGGGACCTCGCCTACGAGACGCAGGTCGCTGCTTCGCTTCGACAAGAAGAGGCCGGAGGACGAAGACAAAGCAGCAAAGGAAAGAAAGACACGCTCGGAAGCCTCGGACCAGTCGTCGGACGAGTCGGACGAGGAAGCCAGCATCGAGGAGGAGGCCAAGCGCAAGCAGCGGTGAGCCCGCGAGCAGATACACACCTGCCGGGACCAACGCCTCCCCCCTGCTCACCGTGCGTGCTTCAACCCCTGTCTGCTCCAAACAGGGAGGCCGAGATCGGGCAGGCTCGAAAGCAAAAGGAGGCCAAAGTGCAAGACATGCTTGCCAAGCTCAGAGGTGGGTCGCGGTGGAGAGGGGGCGCTCGACATCCAGCGTGTCGTCGCCGTCGCTAACCGTCGACGACGACGACCACAGAGCCTCTGGAGGTCTTGAAGGCCGAGCACGAGCGCAGAACCGTCGACGCCATCCGGGATGCGTTCGCCAAAGTCATAGGCAGCTTGGACGCCATGGCCGAGCACACCGACGACTTCGGGTGAGTGCAGGCCGGCGCCCCTGCCTCCCCGTCGTCGTGTCACATCGTCGGACAAGGCACTGCTGACACCTGGGCGCTCAACACCGGCGCAGGGAGAGCTTCCGCATCGCCAACGAGACCCACGCCGAGCTCTGCACCGAGATGGCTGAGCTGTCGGACAACTACCGTCAAAACGTCGAGGAGTCGATCCATGCCATCTCGCGTCACCTCGACCGCCTCGAGTAAGCAGTCAAGGATGAGGACCGGTGTCGCTCCGGGAAGTGGACGCCCGTGCTGACAGCGGTCTTGTTTGCCGCAAATTCTGGACCGTCGACAGAGAGGCGTACACCGCTCGACAGGCGAACCGCGACCGCTTCAACAGAGAGGTCGAGCAGCTGCGTGAGCCTTCTGACGCTGGCTTCCGGACTGCCGGCGTCGTGCCATCGTGCCAGCACGGGAAACACTAATCGTCTGCGGCAGCATCGACCACACTCGCAGACGAAGGTTTCGCGACCAAGATCGATGGCATGCACAAGGAGTGGGCCGTCCGCAAGAGGAAGCTCCTGGCCGACATGGCGCAGGCCAACGACACGACCCAGGACGAGAAAGGTGAGTCGGCGACTGCCCGTCGCCCGGCGAGGTGCCCATTTCGACTGCCTCGACGGTGCCTGACCGTCCCCTCGCCGAACGTGCACCGGTCTCCTTCATCCTCGACATGACGCCTGATTGCGGGGGTTCGACAAGCAGAGCTGCGCCAGACGCTCGCCGAGATGCTGGGCGGCATGGGTGACTAGTCGTGCTCTGCTCCGCTCCACACGCGGGACAGACAGGGCGGAGTGGCACGAAAAGGGATCGCAAATCATTCGGCATCGGCATTGCAAGGACGGGCCGGCATGGAACATGGGAAGGGTAGCATCGCATCAGTGAGGGAGGGCGGGGCGCATCAGGCCCGCTCCAGTCGATCGTGTTTGCAGTCGGGTCGTCGTCATCGGTTTCGTAGTCGGGGTCATGAAGGGGTCACAGCTCGATGCGCAGAATCTCCTTTCGCGGCTGGCCACGCACGACGATACGGAGCGAGACGGTGATATCCTTGTCCTCGTACGCGTCGAGGTGGGCGTAGCGCTGCGGGAGCGACATGAGTTGGCCTGCAAAGTCGTCTGGTTCGTCCGGCGGCGGCGGAGGCGGCTCCGAAGTCGTGTACGTGCTGCCGGAACGAGGGGAGGGTTGGGTTGCGGATCCGTTTCCATCCGTGGTCGCCGCGTCGTTCGAGATTGAAGAGAACGAGAGAGCGAGAGAAGGAGGGAAAGAGAGATAGAGAGGGATGGGGAGACAGGGAAGAAGAGGTATCGGAGAGAAGAGGGCGGCGGCGTTTATCCGCTAGCGCCTACATCCTAAAGGTGATCAGGTCAGTGTTGTTCGGTCTCGGTACGACACGACACGAGACGAAGCGTCGGATTCGACGATGGCGAGCCCGAGGAGAGGGGGGAGAAAAGGGGTGACACGGAATCAACTCACAACAGGGCGAGGGTAACGTCGCCATGGACCTTAGCTTTGAGTTCGAGCTGTACGTCGAGGTTGAGGTCAAGACGAAGGCGAAGCGGCTTATCGCCCATATCGTCATCGCCGCCTCCTCCTCCCGCGAGGCCCGAAGCAGTCTTGCCCACGCTATCGGCCGCACCTCCGACGGCATCGACCGCCTTTCCGACCGGCTTGCCAACCTGCCTAACGGGCAGATCATCGACGAGCCCAAGACCCGAGTCGTCGTCGTCGGATTCCGACGTGTACTCCTGTTGTCGACGACGACGACGACGACGCGCAGCCTCCTCCTTTTCCCTCCTCGACGACGACGACTTCTTCTTGGCGGGCGCAGGAGGCGGCGGTGCCGATTTTTTGGACGACGACGATGACTTCTTCTTGGGCTTCGGCGGTTCGGGTTCGGGTTCCGACTCGGATTCCGACTCGGACGCCTCGCTGCCCTCGTCTTCAGAGCCGGAGCCGGAGCCGGAGCCGGAGCCGGAACCGGGCTGCTCTTCGTTGCCCGAGTCGTTCTTCTCCTCGTTTTCGGCGGGCTTGGGTGCCTCGGGAGCGTCCTCGGCCTTGGGCTTCTTGTCCTTGGTGGCTTGCTGGGCAGACATGGCGGCGGCGGTCGCGGAGAGGGCGGCTGCAGCTCAATGGGGCGTGGGTTGTGGGCGCGAGGTGGTGGCAGTGGTGGCAGTGTTTTTGGCGGCGGCGGCGGCGGCTGTGGGCTGCGGCGTGGAAACTTCTGCTGCGGCTGCTGGGTCGGCTGCAGGCGGTAACGACGGACGGGCGAGAGAAGTGGCGATGGAGGATGAGACGAGAGGCCAGCGCAGGACTCGCCGCCGTCCCTTTATACCGAGAGCTGGACGGGCGCACCAGACGCGTCCGCCAGGCCGGCCGTCGTCGTGGCTGGGCCAGGCCGTGAATCGACCTGGGGCGAGCCCTGCTTGCCTGCCTGCCTGACCCAGCCAGCCAGCCTGAGCCCCGGACGGGTCGCGCGCCCTGGACACGGCTGCCGGCCGGTGCGCCATCGCATCATGGGCGGCCGTCGATCCTTGGGACCCGCCTGCCTGTCTGCTCTTGCCTGCCTGCCTGCGTGGCCGTGCGTGGTCGTGTCGCGTGTGACGGGGTACGGACGGCGCCGTTCGATTGTGCCATCACACACGCACGCGTCCCTACGTCATGTTGACGGGCTGGGCGACGGGCGCCGATGTGCGCCTGAGTCAAAGCGGAGACCAGGAGACGGCAGGCTGATCTGTGGCGGTGACGAGCAGGGGCCAGCGGCGTGCGGCAGGCGGTCGGTCGATGTGCTGGCCAGGCAAGGCCTTGTCTGGCTAGGTTCGCGTTGCCGGGGTGGGTGGCCCCGATGCCGAAGCCGATGTCGAGGTCCGACGGGCGGACGAGCGGGCAGGCAAGTCGAGACGACGACGGCGGTGCAATGATGCTGCAACGCCAGAAGTCGCTCGCGCGTTGGTTGAGGCGGCGGTGCGTGGGAGCGGTACAGCGGGCAAGCAAGCCAAGACGCGCGTCGAGGTGGCAGGAATGGGGCCAGGCAGGACGGCTGGCTGGCTGCGATGCATCATGGCAGGTGCGAGCTTGGTTGCTCCGGAACGGCGAGGCAGGTCGATGTCGGCGGGCCAGCCTCAACGGCCGGAGCCCAGGCCAGAAGGAGGGGACAAGCAAGGCCACGTCAGGACCAGGGAGGTAGGGCAGCGCTGGCTGCTTGGTCGATGCGAGAGGCTAGGGCCGTGGCAGCATAGCGGAGGGGGCCTTGCTGCCTGCGTTGCCGGCTGTCTGGCTGTTCCGAGGTTGCGGTCTGTGGGCCCCGCTTGTCCCTTCACACGGGAGGCCACAAAGGCGGACGCCACCGGCCATCTTGTCTCAGCTGTGCCGCGCCACGGCAAACGGGTGTGGCAGGCCAGGCCAGGCTAGGTCAAAGGAGGGCTCTTCCGCCGGCAACCTGCCTGGGCGTCGAGGCTGTCTGCTTGCTCTGCTTGGTGGCCTGCCATGCCTGGCCCGCCGGTGCGATAGGCGCGATGCGATGCCTGCGAGCTGCTGTGGTGTTGCCCTCTGTGGATCGCTACGCTGTGTGGTCGAGATGAGCCAGAAGCAAGCAGGCAAGGTGGCGGTACCGGTGATCTCGTTTTGCCTGGCCTGAGCTCGAGCGGCGGCGGGGCCATGGCCACCAAAAAGCAGGGACGCGGCGGGTGAGTGGGTGACAAGCAGCAGGCCAGGGTCCATCACGCCGCACGCCCGCACGCACGCACGGCGAATTTTGGCGGGCTGGCTGTCCAGCAAAATCGGTTGTCAGGTGGACCGCGCATGCCCGACGCACCACGTTGCGCTGCGCTGCGCCCATCCACGCCCGCGGGCAAGCAAGCAACCAAGAGAGAGGCCGACGCGCTGCGAGGATGACTGTGCCGTGCGCCACTCATACGCCAGCCCGTGCACGAAAATCGGTTCCTGCTCGCCCTGTCGCTTTTTAGTCGTCATTTTCCGCCCGTCAGAAGAGGCAGGCAGACGCAGGCGGTGCAGGTGCGGCCTTGCCAGCCAGTCAGGCAGAATTGCGCGGCACAGAGGGTGGCGCCGCCAAATCGCCCGGCTTGCCTGCCTGCCTGCTTTTTCTTCCTGACCGGCCTGCTGCCTCCCTATCGACCGCCGCATGCATGGCAGCTTCCCGCAGCCGTGTCGTACGCTCACCGCACCCAATGTCGAACGAGTAACCCAAGACCATCGACGACGAGGCAGCCACCTGCAACGCACGCCACACAGGACTCGCCCCCGCCGTCGGTCGATGCGGCGTGCTGTGCACGAGGAGCAGGCAGGCGACAAATGACGACATACCGCCCCTCGACGACCTGCTGGCCGGTCCTGCCCTCGAGCGCTGGCGCACGACGCACGGCGTCTATGGCGGCCCTACCTCCATCAGCACGCTGGCCACGTCCCAGCCTAGCCCAGCCTAGCCTGGCCTAGCCTGCTGTCCCTCCTGCCTCACCGCCCAACCTCTTCCTGCAGCGGAGGCGACGACGGCAGCGGCGGCCGCCTCGAGGCGATGGAAGCACGCAGGCCGCCCTTCGAGCCGTTCCTGGTCATGCATGGCGGTGCTTCTGACCTCGTGGGCCCCCGATCGAGCAGTCAGGCAGGCAGGCGACGGCCTCGTCCTCGCCTCCTCGCCGGCCAGTCTGACAGGCCACTTTGCCCTCTCTGACATGCAGCAGGCTAGGCTAGGCTGCCGAAGGCCTCTCGCCGTCCGCTGGCAGGCCGGCATGATGTCGCCCTGCCTGCTTCTTTTCTCGGTGCGCCCGGCATGAGCGACGGTTGGACGGTCAGGCAACCTCCAGAGGCGCGGCCCCTCGAAACGTGCAACATGACCTCGACGCCCTGCCTCCCCGCCGGCCGGCCCATGCCACGCACCCGGCTCTTGTTGCACTACGATCTCGGACAGCCCCCCGCCGGCCTCGTCTTTGGCGCAACGACGATTGCCCACGTCCATCGTGCACCGCCACCCTCGCCGTCGCCGTCGTCGTCGAGCGAACAAGCCAACCAGCGGGCGGGCAATCAGCAACCGGCCTGTCTTGCTTGCCTCCGGTCGACGTCGCCTGGCTGCAGCGGCGATGACGGCCATGCATCGGGCCCGCGAGGTACCGGTAGACGCCGCCCTCGCCATCATCGTTGTCGAGCAAGCGACGAAGCCAGAGCAAGCAAACATGCATGCACCCCGTCGACCCCTGCCCTGGCCTCGCTGTTGTCCGCCAGCTTCGACGAGGAGCACGTCGGGACTCATCCGCCCGCGTCTTTTCCGGGCAACGCATCGGGACCCTCGACATCATCGTACGTGCTGGCCAGCGCAGCGACCGACCCCAGCCTCCAGTCTGGAAGAGGGGAGCTCCGTGTCCGCGCCGTCGCGACCGTGCTTCTCACGGTCTCGGATGGCCTCGTCCCAGACAGCTGGAGAAGCGGTGGCCGCGCTCGACAGCTCTCATCAGCTCGTCCGGGAGGCCGGTCGTTGTGGTAGGCTAGGGTGCGTCTGGCTCGCGACGGCCATCCATCGAAGGCAACGCCGCGTCTCGTGTCTCGCAAGACGGCTCCCTGCTGGTCATTCCTGGCCCCCTCCCGATGCTAGGCTGCTGCTCGACGCCACGACAGCCCCGGACGGACAGGCCGACTTCCCCTCGGCCTCTGCCTCTTCCTCCCCACCCCCTCGCCTTGTCGCCAACGTCAAGCGACCAAGGCGAGTCCCACGTACGAACGCTCGCCGTCCGTCCGTCGCCGCCAGCGCCCCTTCCACGTCAGCAGCATGAGCGCCGTGCCTGCTTGCCGGCAGTCGCATCAGGCTAGGTTCCGACGTGGCCCTACGGCGCGTTCCTTCTGTGCACGGCTGCGACCTTCCCGCTGCAGGCCCAGGACACGACGAGCCATGACGTCGTTGCGTGCTCGAGCGAGAGGACGGGCTCTGCACCGCCACCGGACGACTTGACAGGACCGACCTGGCCTGGCCTGGTCCAGCCTCAGCTCGCCCGGTCCTTTCGGCAGCTGCGTGGAGCCAGCGTCGATCGTCATCGCGACCGAGACGGCGAGGCGCTGTCCAAGCAGGCCAAGGTAGCGCCACACCTTCTCCATCCGCCTCTTCGGCGTGCCCAGGCCATCGTCGAGACGGGAAGAGATAAAAGCACCTCGACGCTCCAGTCCCAGCTCCATCGCCAACCCACACCGCACCACCGCACCCACTGCACCATCGCACAACCGCACAGTCGCACCACACACTACCATCTCGCGACGCTTCGCATCACCAGAGCACCGAATCGCTATCGCTGAGACCGCCACTTAACGAGCATCCCCAGCACCACCAGCAGCAGCGACACTCGATCCGCCTGCTGCCACGGCTCCCTCGATCTACCACCGACTTGCCCTAGCGGCCCGCCTACCACCAAGCTGACGGCGATACCCCCTCTGCTGTTCCACAAGATGACCCAAGTCCTACAGAACGCCGGCGACTTTACCACCTCGACGCTGGGCAAGGCCACCAGCGGCCTGTCGGGCATCACCGGCGGCGGCGGCAAGGGCGGCAGCGGCGTCGACAAGTCCAAACAGCCCCCCGTCGACACCCCCACCGACGAGACGGTGCAGTTCGACAAGCGCGCCGGAGACAGGGCCGCCGAGATCGCCAGACAGGAGAAGGAAAAGGTCGACCAGGCCGGCGACGACGGCTGGGAGGTGACCGAGGGCGCCGGCAAGAAGGGCGACGAGGCCGCCTCTGGCCAGCCCAGCGACCAGAGCGGCGGAGGTCTGCTCGGCGGCGTCGGCAAGACTGTTGGCGGGGTGACCGACACTGTCGGCAAGACTGCCCAGGGCGCCACTGGGGCCGTCGGCAGCACCGTCAAGGGAGCGACCGATACCGTCGGCAAGACCGTCGAGGGTGCCACCGGCGGCGCTGGCGAGACTGCCGGCGGCCTCGGCAAGACCGTCAGCGGCGTGACCGACACCGTTGGCGACACTGCCAAGGGAGCCACGGACGCTGTCGGCAGCACGGCCAAGGGTGCCACGGACACCGTCGGTAACACCGTCGAAGGCGTCACGGGCGGTGCCGAAGAGGCTGCCGGAGGCGCGACGGACGCTGTCGGTAAGACCACCGAAGGCGCGACGGGCGCTCTCGGCGAGACCGCTGGCGGCGCGGGCAAGACCGTTGGCGATGCCACCGACGCTGTCGGCGAGACTGCTGAAGGCGCGGCGGACACCGCCGGCAACGCCGTTGGCGACGTCTCTGACGCAGCTGGCGAGACAGTCGAGGGCGTCACCGACTCCGCTGGCAAGACGGTCGAGGGCACCACCAAGGACGCGAGCGAGACGGCTGAAGGAGCCGTCGACGCCGTCGACAAGACCGCGGAGGACGCCACCGGCACCGCCGGCGAGGTCGCTGAGGGCGCGACCGACGAGGCCGGCGAGACCACCGAGGGCATCACGGGCGCCGTCGGCGAGACTGCAGAGGGAGTCACCGACGAGGCCAAAGGAGAGGCCGAGGGCGTCACCGGCACGGGCGACGAGACCGTCGAAGGCGCCCAGCAGGGTGTCCCCGGACAAGGCGAGGACAAGGAGGGCGAGGGCGAGGGAGAGAAGGAGGGCGACGAAGCTGCGGGAGAGGAGCAAGGCGAGCTGGAAGGCGACGCCACCGAGGGCGACAAGAAGCTCGAGGGCGAGGGTGAGGGCGAGGGCGAGGGCGAGGGCGAGGGCGAGGGCGAGGGCGAAGGCGAGGGCGAGGGCGAAGGCGAAGGAGACAAGCCCGCGACGGACCCCGAGGACCCCGAGGCCGAGCCCAAGGACGAACGCACGCCCGAGCAGGCCATCGCGGACTACAAGGCCGAGCAGCAGCGCCTGCAGGACGAAGAGGACAAGGCCAAGCGCGCCGAGGCCGACGAGGCGGCCGCCAAGACCAAGGCCGAGGAGGATGAGCAGGCCAAGAAGGACGCCGAGCTGGCCAACCAGATTGCGGACCACGTCGAGAACTGCATCGAGAGGATCAAGCCGGTGCTCAAGCTGATCAAGGAGCACCTGGACAAGGCGGACCGCGACAAGAAGAACGACGCGCTCGACGAGGACAAGGTGATCGACACGGTCAAGCCGCTGATTGAGCAGGCGACGGCGATGCTGCAGGAGTGCTACGGTGGCATCAAGGGCCTCGACCCCTCGGGCAAGCTGGCCAAGCGCGCCCAGGCCAGGTCGAGCTCGCGCAAGGCGACCGACGAGGAGTACCGCCTGGCCGACCTGCTCAAGGATCTCAGCGAAAACGTCACCAAGACGGTCGACGACGCCCGGCGCAGGCTCGACGACATGCCCAAGGCCAAAAAGAACCTCGGCCCGCTCCTCGACCTGCTCCAGGACCCGCTCTTCCAGATCCTCAGCGCCGTCGGCCTCCTCCTCAACGGCGTCCTCTCGCTCCTCGGCAACCTCCTCCACGGCCTCGGCCTCGGCGGCATCGTAAAGGGCCTCCTCGGCGGCCTCGGCCTCGACAAGATCCTCAACAACCTCGGCCTGGGCAAGCTCCTCGGCGGCAGCAAGTGAGGTCGTCCTGGCCTGGCTTCGCTACGTTGGCGACCGGCGTCCATACATCCCTGGCCCCGTCTCTGTGACCTACCGCCCCAGACCACGTCCGCATCTCCGTCCTGATCTCAATCCCTGCCGCCGACGAGCAGCAGCGAGCAGCACGACATCTCGTAGGGTAGCGCTCCCTCCACCGCCTACCCCCCGTCTTACCAGCTACCAGCGACAGGCTAGCGAGCGATCAACGGGCAGCGACCGCCCGACGAGCCCGTCGATGTGTCCCGAATGTATCATAGCGCAGCGCGGTCGTACGACCCGCACCCTCCCCGATCGATGCGAATCCAAAGCGTGTAGCCCTTTCTGTGGCGTGAGACGGAGGGCGGGTGAGAGGCAAATCGAGTCGGGCCGGGATGCTGCACGGCGAGCAAGCCACCTGGTGCTGGGAAGTGGGAGGTGAAAGGTGGGTGGGACTTGTGCCGTCACGGATCAGCAGCGACCAGGACGACGTTGACCGAGGGTGAAGGAACTGACGTTGTGCTGCGAGCTGGAACGAGATCGGTCAGCAGTGGTGGCGGCGACGATGAAGAGGGGGTGATGAATGAGCAGGCGACGATGAAGAAGGGTAAACGAGCAGAGACAGCCGTTGGTTGCAGCAGGCTAGGTCGAGCTGGAGCAGGGACGGGCGTGAGCATGCAACACTTGCTGCAGCAGGTCCAAGCTTTTCATAGGGCTCAACATCAAGCACCTTTCTTGTACCACTATGACTGCAGCAGTGCTGCAACACCCACCTGTTGTTGAATACACACATGAGAACAGGTCAGCCTGGCTGGTTTGTCTGTCTCTATACAATGAGGTGTGCATGAACAGCACCTGATCTGGCAAACAATTGGGGAAGGGGAGGGGGGGGGGGGGGGGGAGGGGGGAAAGGTAGTG